CTGCCACCGTGGCGTCCAGAGTGTTCCGGGTACGTGGCGGCACGTGGATTTTGGGACCTACCTTCACAAAGCGGAGCTTGCCAGTGTTTGGTCCCCATCTCACCTGCTCAAGCAGAAGGCAAAGGACTCTTACCTGAGCTGAGCAAGAAAAGAAAGAGAAAGACGGCTTTGCTAATCCCCATTTTGGCCCAGCTGGCGGGTGCTGGAAGTTGTGTGTGTCAGTGCACAAAGTTTTATTGACTCGCACTGGAGTGAGGCGGCATCAAACAAACAAGGCAGGCAGATTAAGTTAATCATTCTCCCACTCCGTGACCCCCTTTGCCGTAGTCAACAACCTTGAATCGGATATATTACCAAGTAAGACTCAACCATTTGTACGGGATGCTGGGAAACATGAAGGCGCGCTCTCATTTTTTCGGGGGCCAAAAGCTGGTTAGTATTAATACCTGCAGTAATCTAGATGCTTTAAGACCATTTTTGTGAAAGCTAGTATGAAATCATTCATAAAATGCTAAGAACTAAAGCAAGACAGAAGAAAAAATTTCTGCTCTCAAGTTGTCAGGCCTCACTTTACTAAAAAATAGATAGGAATAACGTTGGTGGAAAGCATGGGAAATCATGTTTCCAGGTAGAACTTAAACTTCTCCTGACACTATGCTCATTTCTAAGGTTCCCAGGGATAATTTCAGTCAGGCACACTTGTACTGATTTAGATGGACTAATTTCTTGTTTTCCTGTTTAATCTCAGGGTAAGCACTATTATCAGATCCAAATAATATTAACTCTCTAAGATAGTTTAATTTTAGTTTTTAACCAAAGAATTCCTTCTCTCCCATGTTTCCTAGATCTAGGCTTTTTTTTGTTCATTTTGGAAGTAAGACCTAAAGTTCATTTTGGTTCAATGTCTAGCAAAGCTATTCAGTGCTTTCCTTCCCAGACACTTAACCTCATGTCTCATGCTTAAACTCATCTAGAGAGGGTGTCAGACTTTGCTCATCTATGTGTTATCCTGATTTCAACATCAGCTCGCTCTGCATTTCCCAAATGGCCTTTGCCTTGGAAAAGTTGCACTGCAGGACCATTGTGTGGCTTCTCTAGCATGTTAGGTCACTGATGGAGCTTCAAAACAAGTTGTTGAATCAAATATGCAAGTGACTCACCAGACTGAGATGGGGATTGCATACTGGTTAAAGAAAACAGGCCTGAATTAGCACTTCTGGGTCATGAAATTCTGTCGATGCAATTGAAGGCAAAAAGTTCATAGAATCATGAGCTCCATCTTAAAACTAGTGATGTTATCCATGTCCCTGTTGTCCCACCTATTTTAAGTAGAAATGATAATGTACTGAGATGTGAGATAAGGTGAAGGAGTAAACATGTAAGGGAAAGATTCCAATATGGGTGCCAGATTAGTAGCTATTTTACACATTATCCAAAAAATCTAGATACGATCCTACTTGTAGTCTTGTGATATTTTTCTCCCATAGAATGCTGTAATACCATGTTATGTAGTTTCCTTCTGCACTTGAACTCATTTTAATGCAACTTGTGAAGTACAGCAAAGCGTAGGATATCTGCAGAGGCTCTGGAAACTGCTAAGGGTAAACTAGGGCAACGAAGCAGATGGGCCTAAAAGAGGAGCTGAGGGAAGCTGGAGACAGCTCAGGGAAAATTTTGAAGGGTAAGAGAGAGAGGGTGTTAATGCCAGCTCCTTTCTCCTTCTTTTGAAATTCTAAAGCGGCAACTGTACTTAGTTTGATACTGTGCAATCGTACGTGGGAAAGGAACATAAAATGAAGGAGCAGAACACAAAATAAGCTTCACTAGCAAACAGACTTTTGAGAGTGATTCAAATCTGATTTAGTCTCACGTGATCTTGATAATCTTAACCCCATTTTCAATACTGTCAGGGCCAGCAGGGCTAATGATAGCTCACTTCAGGCTTTTTCAATGGTTTTGAGATGTCCCCTGGTTGTTAGGCAGAGAAGATGAGGTCAGGACTCTGGAGCAGTATCCAGCATGAGCATCTACTCTACTACTCTCAAGTTCAGACTTCTGTTTTCAAGAAGCCCACAGCAGAAGTAGACAATCCAGCACTGTCCCTTACTGGGCTGTCCAGGCTATCACGGCAGTACCAGGGTGTTTCCCAGAAAGCAAACTCGGAGTAGCAGGCAGGATAGCCCAGGGCAAGGCTATTACCAGAGTTTACTTACAGGCAGAGCTATGATGGAGACTGAAGTCTGCTTTGTCCAGCAAAGTATGAGCAGAAAGGTGTTTGCTTAGTTACAGCCTCTTTTCCCTTCAGGCCTGACCTAGCCAGCCAGGCAACCCCAATCAGTTTTTACTTATCTCCTGTGTTCCCTGTCACCCATTCCACACAGACCTATGCCCAACAACCGTTTTGTCCCTTGGCATTTATAGTTCACAGCCATGGCCAGTGCATGGTGCCCCATCCCTGTGTCTCCTTTCTGTCAGCTCTTATAGGTTAGCCTGGGCAGATATGTCATTTTTGAACAGGTACCAGCACTGCCTGGGCTAGTATGCGAGAATACACACATGCAGACAGCAACAGAAGAACAAAATAAATGTGCTCTCTTTTTTCCTAACTCTCACACAGCATTTATCTCCTGCTGTGCTGAACTGCTGGCTTTTCTATCCCCTCCCGGCACGCTGGAGAGGGTAGTCGACATCTGGTACATGCAGAGCTGCCCTATTTGCTGTGGGGAATGGCCTCTCCTAATACTGCCCCACACCTTCTCCAAAGCCAGCTCCAGCACAGGGAAATCAAGTCAGAGGTATTGTCCCTGAGGAATGTGTGAGTTGCTTTGGATTTTATTTGGAGGGGCAGAGGGGGAAGGGGCATTTATGGAGGGGCAGAGGGGGAAGGTGCTGTTTTATGTTGCTCAGCTGCCTATGCACCAAAGCAGCGTTTGGGAGGCCAGGGCAAAAGAGCGTCACAAGCGTTTGTGAAATCAGTGCCCAAAGCATGCTCTACTGCATCTTCTGGGCCTGATGTGTGGCCGCCGATGGAGCACTCTACCTGAAGGCATTTTTCCCAGGTGGCTCTCCAGACCAGCATAATAAAACCACAAAGATCTGGCTGTGCTCTGGCTTTTGCTAGTGGTGACTGTGATGCTCTCAGGAGCAAGTTATTTGTCCCATCTATGGCTAAGTTCCCTCTAGTTACAAATTAAAAATAATTTTTCAGGGAGAAGGGGGAAGGATTTTGAAAAGCCCTCAGTTACGTTTACAAAACTCTTTGATAAGCACAATACTTTAGAGCTTATCAACAGATCAACTTTTTCTATAGGTTTTCAGAATCAAAGAAGTTACCTGGAGTAGTCAAAGTCATGTTAACATGCCACTCTGTCCAGGATGGTTTAGGAACATCTGCATGTATCGTGTAAGTAAGAAATCTTTTGCTATCTTTCTTCATGTTAAAGGTCCATATATGCTTCTTCAGGTCTGTAACAATTTCTTCTTTTAGATTTGGATCTGGTTCCCCTCTCAATCTTGTTGCCTTTAATCTGCTTAAATTCCATCTACCTCAGTGCAGTTGCTCCTGATTTATTTCTGAGAAAAGGAAAGAAAAGCTGTGTTTCCATTTCTTTCAGGGACGGCAATACAGATTTGGAGAAACATTATCTACATCTGTCTTAATGGATCAAACCCTGGAGAGCTGGACATAGGGATATTATCAGCAGTTGGCCGTGATATAACAATGCATATTCCAAAAGTTCTCCACCTGAAAATGTCAAAACAGGAGAAGTATCATTCATCTCTTAGGCCAACACTCCTTGCTGCTGTCGCTTGACAAGCATACGACCTCTCAAGGCATAGTGTTTAAATGTGCTGTTGATTTCTTTGTCTCCTTTTGTGTCTTTCCTCCTCCTCTCTTTTCCCTCATAAAATCTATAGTATATATCTGAATTTTTCCCCAGTTTTGTGATCCGGTAGTGTTTGTTCTCTTTTATTTGACAACTGTGAGGCCTAACTTAGGTGGAAGTTTATCAGATCTTATTTCAGAGTCAGGGTACTTTAGTTAGCACAGTGGTTAAAATATAAACAACAGTAGAAGGCTTTTTAAATAAAAGTTGACCCTTGAAATTAGGTTTACTGTAAACTGAGAAAAATCCTTTGCAAAAGAAATTGTAAACAATGTCAGAACACAGGTCACAGTTTATGGAATAAATTCACATAAATATGGTTTCCTTAAATTTTGAACTCTGAAAAAGACAGAAAACATTCACTTCGATATCAATTATTTGCTAAGAGGAAAAAGGACCAAAGGCAAGATTCAGTTGTTTGTGGGGAGCGATCTCAAAAGCAAGGGCACAGCTGCTAAGGCTGGGGAGAGTGTGCGCTAAAGGAGCTCTTACAGGAGTTCCAAAGGGTCACAGTGTGGCAGAGATCCATGGGCAGCTGGGAAATGAGGAGGATATTTTTACATTCATTGCAAAGACAACTAGAACATGTGACAAAAGGGAGATTTACGTAGCCCTCATTCGTGGAGCCTAAGTATACTTGGGACAGAGAAGCCAGACAGATAGTGTGGATGGCTTCTAGAGGCATGAACATGTATGCAAGGTAGGAAGTGGTTAAGGAATGAAAAAGAGAGCAAAGTTAAAAATGAATTCTGTCCTTGCTCTACACATAAAGGAACACAGAGGGCAGAATAACTGGTGAATAATTTCATCTTTACAGCTTGTGGCCATAGAAGCTAATGTATCTGTGAAAGGGAAAGTGACAGTCACAGTGAGGTGAGACAGAGGGGATGTTCTTCCCAAAATAAAAGGTTTTAGTCTTTGAGACTTTCACTTTTTCTGGCTGTTGCTGGATGCCAGGAACCAGTAGAATAAATTCAGATAGACATATGAGAAGCAGAGAGGTTAGAAAGGGAACAAACTGAGTGTCATCTTTATGGCAAAAAGATCCAAAGAGCTAACAACTGCGGATTCTGTGTTGTAGAAAAACATTTGGAAAAACAGGGACCTCATAACTGTTTTTATAGAGCTGTAAAGAGGAAGAGTGGCATAGAGAATCTGGCAGCAGTCTTTACTGGAGAGAATTAAGAGATATCTCATTCTTTCTTGCTTTTGTTACTCTCTTAGTACACAGCAATCACCTTCCCACCTGAAGGTCCTAGTCACTCTTTACCTGTGGAGATGCACAACAGAAATGGAAAAGACATGTATAATAGGGCCTGAAATTCAATCTGTATGTCTTATTTTGTTTTGTTGTTTTCTTCTTGGAAATGTCTGTAAGCAAGTGAGGCTGTGTCTGCATTCAGACTCCTCAAAGACTGGTGCCCAGAGGCTCATGGCTATGCACTTCTCTGGGTTTAACAGTTCCTGTCTCTGCTGCCCCAAATCAAAGGACTCAGCTGTGACTGCTGCTCTGGAGGCTGTGCAGAGGGAGGGCTGCCAAACAGTTATCAGTCCTTCCTCTCACATGTGACAGTGCAGCTTAACCCTTTAAACACTCCAGGAATTGCCTAAGTGCCTACAAAGACCACAGCAAAATTCTGCTGTTTGTGAGGTGTTATTTTGGAGTTTTTCTGTGCACGTAACACAGCCATATACAGTGATTGCTGCAGTAGTGTGTTGTTTACTGATGGTTCCAGCAGCTATGGAGAACTGACACTGTAATCAACTGTCTACAAATGTCACTGAAATAGGATGAATGTTTATAGCTCCTTGCCTCTATGACTTCTCCTAAATGAGGGACAAGCCATCTCTATTTTCCGCATAATGTATATATTGAAATTGTCAGTGCGGTTTCTACTTGCCATTTATATATAGGTTTGTTTCCATGCTTATTCTTGACTCATTAACTTGCATAAAGGAAGTAAGGTCTAACCGGTTTAATCAAATCAAAAGGAAATGCTAAAAGGGCAAGGAAGTAAACGATGTTATAGTCCACTCAAGACCGTGTTGAATGGGATGAGTTCCATCCACTTGAGCCAAGGAGATTTTTACCAATATTTCAGTGGGTAAGAATATCACCTTCATCAGACTGAATTTAATACTTCAACTAGAAAGATGAACAGATTTTATATGTGTATGTGTGTGTGTGCATGTGTATGCGTTTGTGTGTGTGTGTATGTGCATGTATAAGAAAGAAACTGATTTATGTCTAAGGTATTTGCACTGACAGTTCCCACATTCTCGGTGTCTGGTGGTATTCCGGGTGGTTTTCATAGATTCACAGAATCACTCAGGTTGGTGGGGACCCTGGGTGGTCTCTAGTCCAATCCTCCGCTCCAAGCAAGGTCAGCCATGAGATCAGATCACATTTTATACCAATATCTAATCATTTAGGGCTCATTACTTAACAAAATGAACAATACCTTGATTTTACCATCCTTTTAGAGTAAGGCAGTCATTTTCATACTCTTCACATCTGTGCAAATCAGAAGTCATTTTGTCTAAGTCCCCCTGAACATATTGCTCACCACTTGCTACCTTAAATTTATATAGTATTCTGCTAAACAGTTATTGCACGGGCATCTTTGAGTGCTAGCACTTGTCATTTTTGTGAGTTATATGAAAAATAATCAAAAAATAATATTCAAAAATATATTGGAATCAATAGAGAAAAAGGCAGTGTTTATAACAAGCTTTTAGATCATTCCTGAAATTTCAGAATATTCCCCACGTTTCAAAAACTGCTGTAAGGTATAACTGGGTAGTAGAAGCAGGACTTAATACTCTAGATGCACTATAACTAGTGTATCTGTGCTGCTTTTTTGGCCCAGAGCGAATATTTCCATATGTACTCCTATCTGTTGAGCAAGGGCAGCCAACACCTCTGCAGCTTAACCGACTTCAGGGACTGCTTCGTGGAAAGGACAGACAGAAAACTTCAGCCTCCATCTTAGCAACACAGAGTTACGCAGGGCCTCTCTACTGAAATCCATCCCTGACCATGAATACTGGACCAAAGCCTCTGAATTTAGCATCAGTATCACCAAAAATATGAAAGATTTGCTAACACACCTTGTAGTTCATTTCAGTCAATACCTTCACCCTATCTCATCTAACCCTCTTTGATTTCGTGTTGAAAGCACCTGCAGATCACTTAAATAGAATTTCATAAGCAAAGTTTCCTGCTTTTATTTCAATTCAACTTCCTCATAGATTATTTTGGCAGAGTTATTTTGGAAACAGCAAAACAGGAAGAACATACGTTTTTCCAAAGCTAGCAATAACACCTTCTATGTTTGCAAGTAGTTTATACAACTATTTGTGATGGTTTCAATTTAATAAATTTTGTATAATAAGCCTGTTAATCATTTTTATGTTCCTAAAAGGCAAAAAAAAAAAAAAAAGCCCTTTCCTCTTTACTTCCACAGCTTGCATTTGTCAGAGATAGCATTGGAAAACGTAAAATTTTTTCCTGTCTCATGTAAACTACTAAACTAAGATCAGGAAGCTTTGCATGGAAACTTTTGATCAGCTTTGTCATTTGCTCCAGCTATGTTTTGGTGCAAAGTAAATTTCTGAAGGATATGCAATTTACATATACCACGTGTACAAAAGACTGTAGCATATCATATTCTATTTTTACCAAAGAAAGTGCAGAAATATAAGATTCAGCACAAAGAGTTGGAAGGAAGATGAAAGCAAGGTGAAAAGTTAACCAGCATAAGCTATGAGCAACAGGAAGTATTTTCGTAACTTCTTTTCAGAACTTGTTTTCAAAGTCTGCAACATCTTCCCAAGTTATGAATTATCCTGTAATCTTACAACATCTTATTTCGCAAAGCAACACGCTGTTAGCAGTCGAAAAGATTTGAAGGGCTGAAGTGTTCTACAAGCTTAAAGTAAAAGAAAACAAAAATGTCCAGCAGTACATTTGCAGATGTGAGACAGATTAAGAAGCTAGAGTGCACTGAAGAAGCATCCAAGAAGCGCAGATGAAACAAAAAGGATGGTATGACTGATGTCAAAACCCGGACAGATGTCAGGTAACAAGTCAAGAATCCCCATGCTGACAGTAAATAACTAAAACCACAGTCGTTTTCTCAGCTGGAGAATAATATAATGCAGGATTTCCAGGCTGTATTCTCATAAAAGCCAAAAAAAATCCCAAATTGTGCTCTCAGACACCTACAGTAATGTTATCCAAAAAGAAAGACATCAAGAAATAATTCAAATACCTACAGAACCAAACCAAAGAAGATCCAGAAAATATTGTAAAGTGAAGGCTAAAAAGAGTGTTCAGCCCCTGAAGAAGCCCTGCAGCAATATGCTGTATTGCTAATTGTAATGGATTGCATGGATTTCTGGAAAAGAAATACGATTTCCAAATGTAATGGATAGTCACATAAAATTTGTCATATTTATTAGAGTGTTCAGGGAGAGCTACATCAACAATCACTCCAAATTAATGAAATGGTATTAGGACAATACTGTTTTCTGACAAGAAAGTCATGGGATAATGGCCTTTTTAAACCCTGAAATTAAGAACAATAGCCTTTGATTTGCATGAAACAGCAGCAACATTTCAGTGAAAAATGCACAGGGCTATATTAACTGTACCAGAGGCCATCAGGCTCACTGCTTTGCCCATTGGAGCTGGTGGCTGCTTTTCTCATGCAAAACTCTAACCTCTTTTTCCTTTCCATGCAGCTCAGCACAAAGCTTGGCTTAGGTGGTAACACTGGGGGAATTAGCCCCAAGGAGAAGCGACCTCACCATGCTTTCGTCCAGCTGCTGGCAGCATAGGTCACAGCCTCACCTGGCCTCTCCTGTCCCATGGTAGAAGCTCGTTCTGGCTGTTACTTCCCTTATCCAAGAGCAGTGGCGGAAAGAGGACAGATGCCAATTGGACAGGGACAGGTCTGATTTGGGGAAAGGTTTCTTGCACAGGTTTGTAGGAAGACCATATACGTACAGAAAGGCCAGTTGCTTGCATATACACAGGAGAAATGGGGATGTCTGAACAGAGAAGGAAGCCACTTTCATGAGTTGCAGCACATATCTCAAAAGGGAGAGTTGAAATAGGAACCTGACCTCTGCCAAGGCTGCAGAAGCCTGGTGGACTTACCCATGCACAACATAGACATATTTAATGACAGTAATAATCAGTCAGCTTGGCTATTGCTTCATAATAACTGCTCATTCTCTGCCAGTATCGATATTTATTTAAGATTCTTACGAATTATCTCAGTTTTAAAACTATACTTGGAATGCTGTTTCTCTGACACAGAGGCTGCTTTCCCAGTAAAGCCAGCCTGCATCCAGATTCAGTGGGCAACCATTACATTCTTGATCCAAGAAACAAAACTAGGAATTTGGACAAAAACAGTAGGCTTTGATGGCTGGGTACAGTCTAGTCCCCAAGAGGTGACTCCATATTGGACAAATCTGTCTTTATCTCGGCAAACCAGAGGTCCTCCAGCATCAGCCTAGGGAGCAGAAAAGAGAAGGTGACTCCTTGGCACTAGACATGCAAACAGCAAAATATTGGCAGTAATAATATCGTGGTAACTCTGAAGGCCTCAGAATATAGCTGAGGCAAGAACTGTAGAGAGAGGGAGAGTTTTTTATTAGACTAGCTAACAGAATTAGGAAAAAAGCTGTCTCCAAACATACAGGTCATTCTTCTGGTCTGAAGAAGAGAGACTCAAGTACAAGTCACTGATGTGGGAATACCTTCAGATGACTGTGAGGCCAGGTACACACCAGAAGGAAGCCTCTTAATTTTCCACATGCTCTGACCTACTTGATTCTGGACAAAATGCATGTAACTGTTAAAATGCCTTTTCTTAATCAGAATCCAGTGTCCAGTGATTCGTGTGCCTTGCAATGCGCTGTCCATGCTCTCAGAAATATCACTTGCACTAGCAGTCCTCATTACCTGCTCAGATAGAGAAGCATTTGCTTTCTGTGCCTGTCACAAAGTAGTCACCAACTTTTTATTGAGAAGCTCCCAACATAATCCCCTCCATTAAGAAAATCAAATAACATTTTAAAATATTTTCATGTATTTGTGAAAACTGTAAAACTAGAAACACTTGAAGCGTTAGCAAATTAAGAATAAAATAAAGTGGTACAACTATGTTACTATGGACACTGTAAACATTCACTAGTTTCCCTTTTTCTCTAGGAACAAAGGAAAGTCCAGGTAGTATATCACAGGCTTTATTTCAGGTGGGATGTGATATTCATGACACTCGGCTACTATGAGCAGGATACATCAGCAAGCAGTTATAACAGAAAAGAGAAAATGCCCTATACAATTTATCTGCTATTCTAATTGATTGTGTGAATGAAGAAGAGACGCTATGTATAATTCAGTTCTTATATTTCCTATGGAAGCCTTGATTTGCTGAAGCTATTTCTGAGCCTTGAAAGTACAAATTGTCGTTTGATTTACTTGTGCTCAAAGCTAGATTGGTCTTACCTCGCAGTAATCTGTGCTTCCAAAAGTAAGTACACCACAAAATTCATGATTTTTGACACTTCCATTCAGAAATTCAGGGCTATTGCATATTCTGTTTTCAAGCAGAGGGAACTCAATGTCCTTTAATCTGTTATCTCCGTCAGTACCTTTGCAAACAACCAAGAAAACATAACAGTTATAAATGGTAGCCTATCTAATGTGAACCAGTGAAGCCTGAGAAATGACAGAACCGGGATCTGTCCCCAACTCTACTATAGACTCTGTAGTGCTGAAGTACTTGGTTAAATCTTTTAACTTTTCTATCCTTGGATTGTTCCCACTCTAGAACGGAGATAACAATCATTATTCTCCTTTGCAAAGTGTTACAAAATAAATAAAAAGCAGATGCTTAGTATTCAGGGCCATTCTTTTCGACCACTTAAACCCAGAAATGGGCTGTTGAGTTTCCACCCTAATACACTTCCAGAAGAAATCTAGCCTGTATCGTTTTCTGACAGTGATTGCCTAGAAGATAGGAAGCCTCTGCCACCTTGTGGCAGCCTAAATGGAAAAAAAGGCAGGGTAAGGAAGGGAAAAGGTGAGTGGAAAGCCAGTAAACACTGTCTACTATGGAGAAAAGTGTTTCTTCATAACGCTGAGGAGTTGCACTAATGGTATAAAGACTACTCCTAAGCATTATTTGAGCAGCATCAGTTTTGTAGCTAAATGACATAACAAAGGGGAGAAATTTACTGTGAGACTCAGAGACAGGGGCACATTCTGTTCAGATCTTTTGTTTTAGTTATGGGATGTACACACAAAAAAGGGTCTATTGGCTTGCTTTTAAAAGTGGGGTCTTAATAAGGTCCTATCTGGCAGATGAAATGGGAGTAACATCCCTCCTGTTTGGCTCAATGAGAGCAAATGTGCATATACGGGAGCAGAAACCAAATGACAGCAGGCACCAGTATACCTGCTGGAATCAGCGGGGTTGAGAAACAGCCTCCTGCTATGGGAAGGACAGGTCAAAAAGGGCTGGGATATGCTCCAACCAGAGCATTGGTGGGGAGAAAACTGGGCAGCAGGAAACCACTTAGATCAGTTTTTAACACCAGACTGTGAACAAAATTCAAGTAAGGGCTTTACTGACATTAAAAGCCTTCAGCTTGTGCTTACTTTGCCTGTGCCACAAAGGTGGGTAAATAAGACCCACCATGTTTGCAGGGAGGTTGTCTTATCTCAAATGCAAGGTGTTGGGGCTGGGGCTTGCCCATGTACCAGATCTCTCTGGCAGGAATGTAGGTCCCTACAGAAGTCTCTGAAGACTGTAGTCATGTTTAGACTACAGGTGACCAGGTGCAAACTTCATTCAGATGTTAAAAAATTGTCTATCTGAAGGTCAAAAGGGTATTATTTGAGTATTGCCCTTATTTATACAAATGCAGTTTATGTCTTAGCTGAGGAAAGACTGAAATTGAAATAAAAGATAATAAAAGTCTTAAGTCTCATTTCCCTCTCTCTTTTCACTTGTTTAATGAATGCAGTTTATATGACTGAAAAGGAAGAAAAATCAAACTCTAAGAGAAAGAAATAGAAAGAATAACGTTGCCTGATGACATTTGACTTAGTTAAATCTGAAGTAAAATTTGCTTTTCAAGTTCCCTGAGTATTTACATTTGGGGATAGGATTTGAAAACTCTCCTAAGCTTTCAACCACACTGAATATGTTTTACCTCTTGTTTTTCCCCAGGCAGTTAGAAAACATACTGTGTTTCTTTCCACCATCAGACTTGTTTCGGGCAAGCAAACTGGTTTTACATGGTCAGTAAGCGTTACAGGACTGGAAAATAAACAGAGAAAAATAAAAAGATCCTCAGAAAATAATCAGCAGTTTGTTTATTCCTCATACTCAGTAGACTTTTTAAAGAAAGGAGGGGGTTGGGGAGAGAGGAGAAGAAGATGGTGCCTTAAAACTATATAGATGTTTCTAAGCTAGTTCTTGGTCACTTAGTGAAAAAAAGGTTACTTACCAGCAATTGAAAGTCTCTGAGATGTGCTTGTGGGTGCAGTCACAGTGTATTTGCAGCATAGTGCTAGAGAGCTGATCTCTTGTTACTCAAGCAGTGTTTGAAGGATGTGCACAAGCCCAAGCCCAGCGCTAGCACCCCTTGCAGGTGATGGGAGCCTGACTTCTCTTAGGTCCTCCTTGTCTCAAAGGTTGTGGACATTTTCAGGGACTTCACAGGAAGAGGGAAAGATGGATGACTGAGTAAATGAGCAGACACAGCTAAAGTTGCTGAAAATTCCTTTCTCCTCTGGTTATGTGTCTACACAATTATACTGTGGGTGACTTCATGTACTAACTCATCCCTAAGTCAAGCACCCTAGCGTCCTCAATAAAACAAAGGCAAAAGTACAACTGTTCCTTATTGCACCACCATGCCTAGAGGTGTCAGCAGTGGTGTAAGAATTGATGCTGAGTTGAATGGGGTCCTGGAAAGCAGCTCTGCAGAGGATGAAAAAATTGCATAGAGAGGTCAATGGCATTGCTTATGTACAAGTGACGTGTTCCCTTGGAGCAGGGTCTCCACCTTAGCAATCTCATGGCTGGATTTTATTCAGTGAACCATCCAGTGAAACACTCTTTGCTTTGGCCTGTCTGATCCCTTATTGGCTTTCAGCTGTAGGTCTGAAAAGATGAGGTGTCTTTTTTAAGGTATATTATGCTAAAAGTCAGATGAGTGCAAGCAGTTTCAGTTCAGTGAACGCACGTCTGAACAAAATGTCAGATGAGGTATGTCAGGAACCAGCCCTGTGAGGGTTAGTGCTGACCGTGAAAGACAACAAAAGGACTGAATGAACTCCACATGTTGGGTCAGGGTAAAATGAGCCTTTGTACATTCCTTTTCAGGTCCAGAATGATTTTTAAAGTACATGACATGCTAGCTGGTGAGACCTCCATCATGACCAATGTCCAATTAAAGGGAACTAGCAGATTCCATGCCATGCCAAGGCCAGGAGCTCCATGAAGATTCAGGAGAACGAGAGACCAAATGGAACTGTTCCTGACTCATGAAATGAAGACCTCTCCAATGCAAAGATCTGAATGAAACATGAATGCAAGGGTCTAGGAGGTTAGGGAATGCTAACCAGCTCCTGTGTTGAAAGTACAATAGCCCCAGTGCCGTCCTCGCTATTTTGAACTCTATTTTCCAGCTCTCTAAAGCCCAAGATGGGGATTTCCAACCTCTACTCTCACGTGGTTCCAGGAAATTAATGCTGCCGAACCCCTTATCCCTATGTGGATGGACATCAGTTCTGTAGCTTCCAAAAGTGGTTCATTCACCTCTAAATAAAGCACATTTTTACGGAAAGAACTCCTGAAAAAAAATGGGCAAGAGGATTCTAAACTAAGATTATCCAGAAGCTCAGATTGGTGGGTTTTCAGTACTATTCCTCTAGCGCCTTTGCTTTCAAGGTTGCATTTAGCACTTTAGATCTAATTGCACCTTTAGTATGGTCCTCGCAGCATCTCTGGCTTCTGTCTTGCCTGCTGTGGTGGCAGGCAAGATTTTTGAACCGGAGAAACTGGGCTTTGCAGCTTCTGCTTTCCCAACTTCAAAAAGTTAACTTTATTTCTACCTGTTCTGCACCAAGGAAATTCTAGGTCTGTCTTAAGATGAGACCTCACCTCAGAAAGCCTGTTGGCACACACGAAATGGGGCTTTGAGGAGCTTGAAACTAACACAGAGTGGTAACTGGCAAATCCTCAGAGGCCTCTGGTGACTGTGTAGGTACGTGGGCAGGAGAGCAGGGAACAGGACTGAGGATATAGCAGAACATGGATGACAGAATACTGAAGTGGAAGTATAAAGTCCCACAGAGCAGAGATCTGTTCAGGAGTATGGCATATCATTCACCTGGGACTAGAGCTGTTCCTCTACTGAAACCAGTGCTCCTCCTCAATCGATTAGCCCTCCTTTGGGATGATTTTAGTCAAGATCTTCACAGACCAACATCAATTCCCTGACAAATCTTGTCTATTGCCACAAAAGGCAGGTAAACGAGTAGCAACCAACCTTCTCACTTCCTATTTTCTTGGGTGATCTGTTATATGAATAGACACTGAAAAGTTGGAAATAATGGGACCCACAAAGAAAATTGAATACAAACATAAAGGGGAATTTTATGTAGCTGAAAACAAGCACAGCTGATCTAAGCCAGAAACTGAGGGGTATAATGTCTATACCTGCTACTAATGGCATCTTACAGATAGAATGTGATCACATGGCAAGTGCTGCTGATGCAAAACTGACTCCAGCGCTGCCGGAGCATGCATGTATCTGCAGTGTAAAAGTGCATAGAGCATCCTATGGAAGAGGGATTGGATGCAGCAGCTATATGCAATAGCAACGGTAATATAGATGGACCATGAGTTCCTTCTACTCATCTGAACTGAGTGGGAACGGTTATTGCATAGTATCTTGATTGATCAAGCACCAGAGAATTTGAGCTGAAATTTAACTGAAAATTTTCCAAGTTGCTTTTTAAAGCTGAAAATGGTATGGTGAATGTTTTAAAGAGAAGTGTCCTTTCAGGTCAGATACGGTCTTTTCATGATCTTTAATCTATATGTGCTGAGTATAAGAGCAATAGAGAAGCCCATGAGCAAGCAGAAAAGTCGTGGGAGCATTCCAAAGGGAACAAATAAGATTGAAATAATCACACAGCTTTCAGAGCAGGCTGCTTAGATGTCTAAGCATGACACAGAAGAGGGCTTCAGGCAATTACAAACATACACAGGAATTTTCACTATATCACAAGTAGGACTTGGTTTTACTGAGCTGAGGGCCAAGTCTGAAGCTCACAAAACACGCGTGTGGCCTGGCCATGAGCACTTCCAGGAAACTGACCTTTCCGCTTGGTCCATGCAAAAGGTCCGGCCCCTCCTGGCCAGCACTGCAGCCATGGCTCAGGGTGCTCAGGGCTGAGCAGTAAGAGCCTCTGAGTAGAAGATCCTCCAGCCACAACTCAATTTCGGTTTGCCTCCTCCCTCCCTGCTTCAGTGCCACTGCCGCTTAGTGGGTGGTGAGTGGGAATCCTTCACAACAATCCCTCCCATCCTATGGGATGCCCATCCATGCTCCCATTGGCATCCTGGTCCATGCCTTTCCTAAACGGTGTAAGTAGCTCACATGGGGTCTGCCAATGGGGTCACTCAGAAGGAAGGGAGCTCAGAGTTTGCCCTTAAATAGATGCCTAATCTAATACTCAAAGGGACTTACTCGTCCATGCCACCCACAACCAACTCTCAGAGCCAAATCCAGACAAAGCTAATTCATGGCTTCACAATAAAAGCATTGAGGGGGAGAACTCGGGCTGAAATTGTACCTGCTCATCTTCAGCAAGGCAATGTCTGCTCCATTGGGTTCCCTAAATAATTTCAGAACACTACGGATTTGCAAAGATGGCTCTGTTGCCTTCAGGTTCTGTAGCCCCAGAAAGACCCTGTAGGAAGAAGGCTCTGATGACCTGTAAGAAATGACAGAGGCAAGGTTATACATCCATAAATATAATCAGGGCTTTTAGTCTTACAAAATTTGGTGATATCCCCAGAGAACTGTATTTAGCAAGATGGCTAAGCTGCTGCTTTTGACAATAAATGCCCTCATTAATCTTGGGCAGGAGAGGGATTTTTTTTTAACAGTTTGGTTTTAATGACCATGGGCTGTAAATAATGAGGCACCTTCTTACAATGTTCACAGTTCCTAAAGCACTGTGGGTCAGCTGCTACTTTTCCAAGCATAATTAGCACCAGCACAGCTGCTTTTCAGGAAGGGAGAGGGCAGACAAGAGAAGTGACCTCTATTGTGCTACTCATTCTAACAGATACTCACTGTTGCAAGCACTGAGCTGCGGTAAGAACCCACTGCGGATGTATGAGAGTGCCCACACAATTGTGCACATTAGTACTAGAACAGAGAAGAAAGTAATCAATCAGATTAACTTAAGACTGCATAGTCGATTCTCCATCATCTCTGCTGTGCACAATAAGAAATACTGGTAAAGTATCACTATGCCCATTATTCAAATCTTTATCATTCATAGATTGCATTGTGTCGCTGGCATGAGAAATCAAATATAGATTTTCAAGGGACAAATTTATTTGCTCCAGAACATGAGACACATGAAAAGAAGCTTGATACCCAGGCAGAATTTTTGCAACAATGTTCCAGTTCAACAAAGCACTATTTCTTTCAGGAGTATAATAAAAATAATGACATTTTCTAACAATTTCATTTGTGATGTAGAGGGTTTTTCTGGAGCAACTAATAAAAGGCTACATCCTCCTGCTTTTGGGGGTGTTGCCTGGCACTAGTTCTCTAAACAAACACGTCATTAATGCCTTGTTATGAACTTCTAACTTTTCTTGGGATAATATTTATTAGGGTAACTGTCAAAAACTCTACAGAAAATTTCAGAAGCCTTTCTATTAGCACTTCTACATCCTCTGTTCAGCTATTCTCACTATGACTGTAACAACGCTATGCATAACAGTGTTTTTATATTGAGAGATAACGGCCTTCGTGTGGCCTCTAACACAATCAGGGCAGCCTCAGGATCAGTTTATATTTAAACCAGATTGGATCCCAAGTAAGAAGGGATAAGCAAAATCCATTTGTACACACGGCAGGTTGGTGGCTCCATTTCTGGGTTTAATTCCCCCACTGCACACTGCAATTAATTCTCATTATCCTCAGCAGGACTTATTCGTTCCCCATTTCAATAAATCAAAGCTTACTCAAGGTCTGCAGTTCAAGTCTGCCCTCTAGAGATTCAGCAGAAACTGGATAGTTTTGGGATAACTACTCAATAGTCACTATCTACTACATTTTAAGGTATTTTATATAGAGATCAAGGCCAGTTTCCAGAAGTACGTGTACTGTTTTGTCTCAGACGCTTTCTAATGCCTATTCCTTATGAAACCCTGCTTCTCACAGATGGTGATGCAGTTTGGAATATCAATACCTTGTCCTGAGACTGACATGCCAAGGCCAAGATCCTGGAGACGCAAAACACATGCCATAGGGCTCACAGGCTTGCCCTCTTCTCATTGGGAATTTTCCGCAGTCAGGGTGAGAAGAAGCTACAGAATAAAAGAAAGCCACAGTGAAGAATCTGAAAGCAGTTCCGTAATGCCTTTCACAGGGCAATCAGATGAAAAGAGAAAGGCATAAAGCCTCCTTATGTCCTCTTTAGGCTTTCATTCTTTATGCAGGTTAATAGAAACTAAGGGTAAAGAAACAAGCACCCTTTGACTCCATTATATCATTATTACTGTGAACAGTTTAAGCTGGAGTTAATACATCACTTGTGACATGCCAAGACATTGGCAAAAATTGGCAAAAATTGTGAGCTTAGTCAAGTATTTGGATACCTGTGATTAGTTAATATAAGTAAAACGATGATGAGCGAGAAAAAAAGAACATCTGACTGGAAAGTTGAAGGGAAAAGAGAGTGAAAGTAAGTACAAGAGTTTATTGCCCAGACTAATTAAATGTAAAAACTCTCTAAATTCCTCAAAACGTTACAGACTGCACCTTGATTGAATTCAAACCAATCTGTAAATTATCGTAAACAAAACTGAGTCACTGTTTCCTCGTCACAAAATATTACAGTTTTGTCTTCACACTGCTCACTCTACTTTCTTGTTAGTCCAAATCTCTCTAAACTTTTTTAAATAGATGGAGCTTGGGTTCTGAGTAAGGACCCAAGTAACTCTTTCCAGAGCTGCACGTGTTGCTATGGACATGAAATTTGTTAATTCCAGTAAGAGAGAATTAATAAAGCAATAAAGACAAAAGGCACTTTTCAAAACAATCAAAGACAAAGGGACTTTCAAGTTCCCTTACACTTTACAAATCTAACTTTCAAATGCTGCTTTGAAAAGAGATCAGATCTCAGAAGTAAAGATCCATCACAGTAATTCCAGGGAGAAGAGCTTTTACAGTTGTGGTATGTGTTTTTGTATACCATTCCTTATTCTTTTTGCCTGTGTAGCTCTTAGGTCTGGTTGGCAAACTTAATATATACAGTCTTAATGCAATGCTGCTTAGAGGAACACATTAGATGGCCAACATGAAGAACATTTTATAACACTAGAAGAGTGACCACTCTGTGCAGTTTTATATTGCTACAACATCAAACAGAGCAGGAACCTGGCCTTTAGATGTTATTGTAGTACAGTTTATATATAAGATGAAGAAGAAATAGAATTTTCATCTCCCTGCCAGATATATCAAAAAATGTTTGTCAATGTTCAGACAAAGGAAGAACAAAGCAAATGAGGTGACTGGTAAATGTGCCAAGCAGCACTTCCAGTACGTTACACCTCTTATTGCTCCCATTGCCAGGGCACCTTAGAAGCTAAAAATTCTTTTGCTGTTGAGTTTTTCCACAAAGACTACACAGGCACAGTATGCCAATTAGTATCCCAAAACAGAAGGAAGAAATTAAAGAAACCTATATAAAATATCCAGGAGTAAATTCACTCCCCACCCTAGGAGAAAGGCAAAATGCTTAGGGACAGATTAACATCCAGATCAGAATAAAAACTATTTCAACAGAGTTTGAAAAGGATTTTCACGATATCTCTGCTGCTCTCTGCTAACAGGAAAAGTGTATAAGCAGGTTCTAGAGGTGCTAGTCCTGCTACAAAGTGCATAGAAAGACTAGGATGAACGTCAAGTAAATACTCTGTGCTTGAGCACCGCAGGGAATGAACACCTGTGTGCAGCTTTACTGAATATTTTTACTTCAGCTAGCAGCCCTGAGTGCTTAGCTTCACTGATGATAAAGAACACATGAATTGTTATCTACAAAATCGTACAGATGACTCCTAGCGCTGGGTTAGCTAAACTTTGGCTGACTATGACACGCACCTGGCTTTGTCAAACTTCCAGGCAAACCTAAATTCAAATCTTAAGCTACTACCTACTGCAGTTTTTTTGTGGTTGAACTGAATACATCTTGTAACTACCATAACAGGCTGTAGAAAGTGAGGACAGAAAAGTTTTAAGGATAATTACAGCAGCGCGGGATTTCACAGTACTCCCATTTTTTTTCTGGGTCTGTTGTGAAGCACCAAAGACCATTTACATCTCCATCAGGATTCCTGCAATACTGTAGTAATTACAAAAACAGAGAATGAAAACTCCAAATATTAGCCACAGAATAAAGAATTCTACTGGTGTATGTTTTAAAACAATGTTAATCTAAAGCTTTGAAATATTTTCCCCAAATGCTTTTTCACTGTCTTTCTGCTAAACGCTTTCTATATCCGCTAACCACAAAATTCTTTGTTTCCTTTGTTTCAAAACTGTTAGATGAAATTAGGGAATTGTGATAAAATTAATATCATCTTCAGCCATCAAAAGTCAGCCTAGCTCTAGCGCTTTTTAAGACCTCATGAGAAGTAGAGTTCAATATAGCGTGAGATTTGCTTTAGTAAGCAGTTGGTGTTGGCCTAATCCTTCTTCCACTAAAGTTAGGGAGAGCAAATTAGGTCAGCTCTGAGAATTTGCCAGAACCCTGCTCATTTTCTGACAAACAGCAAAAGGCATTGCTCTGATGTTTGCAGAAACCAGGCAAGCACTGTATGATCTCTTTCGCACTGCTTACCTGTAAGCATCAACGCCATGGTATACCTCAATACTTGAAATATCAACATGCTAGGTAATGTGCAATGCATCTTTCTCTCTCTACCACCATTTTAAGTCTGGGCTACCAATGTAATGACCTCCAGGTATGCGGAAACTGGTCTATAAAGACCCAACATGAAATGTTTGCTGAGAGGTCACAGAGAAAAGAGAAAATGTTCAACGGCAACAATGGCATAAACAGCTGTTTACATTTTTATCCAGGCCTGCTCTTGGATGAGTCATGGGAGTGAAATAGTTGTGGCTGTGAGGTGTCTGAGAGCTCCATTCTTGGCAAGTCCTGCCCTTTCCAGTTTTTGCTATTGTGCCACGATAATCTTTACCATTACCGTTAATACAGTCTGTGAAGAAAGAGGAGAAGGAAATGACATTAGCTGCTGAAGCCATATGTCATAGCGGTAAGTAGAAATAAGGTGGAGTAAGTAATTCTAGGACTTAAGTAGCCTGCAGTTTCCATAGCAGAAGGAAAGAGGAAAAGGTATCCTGGGATGTGATTTCTTAGTTTGTCAAAATGGATGTGTTATTGGATGTACAGAGCAACAGAACTGGAAAAAATTTCATGGAACTTCAGGCCAAATGCCTTCTGTAACATATTGCAAATATCTGAAAAGACTCCAAGATCCTTGCTGAATCAGTGTTTGCAAGCGTCTTCCATGACAGAAGCATATTTCAGAGTTTCAGCCCATTAAACTGAGGGAGCAGTTGTTGATTTCAAGGGCATGGCTTCAGGTACTTCCTTCTGCTGCACATAAGTAAGAGTATACAGGAATGAATCTTTTATCCAACCCTGCCACTTCCCCTTGCAAAGTAAATATCCAGTGGGATGCTCTACTGTATATTCAGAACAATCACACTGCTTTGATCAGCATGGGCTTTTCAATTAAGGGAGCAATAAAGCAGAATAGAGCAAAACCAGTGTCTCTTGGTGTATATCTTTTGCAAAACATGTTTGTCTATGAACAAAACAACTCCATTCAAGCTAAGGACAACATCCTAAAAACATAAAGCACAGCACAAGCACAGTTCCCACAATACCGACATTCACTGTCATATTTCAATGGCACATGGCTACAAAATTCTAGAAATTTTGTATATGTTCTTCTTGTTTCCCTAAATGAAAAAGATATCCTCTAAAATGTGCTGTAAAATGATACAGGATGCAGGATATAAACTGACTACAGAACATCTGCTGCAAAATTTGAAGGTACAGTTCTGAAACCTGGAGGAGGGATGTGACTGTCTGTTATGTCATAGCACTACTCAAGGGCAATTTTGATAGATTTGCTTTACCCATAGATGCAGCAGTAAGTGACACTTATAGCCAGCTGTTACCAGATGTGGTGGGCGTAGCTGGGCCAAAGCTCTGTGCCGTCATTGCAGGAAAGTGGTTTGGTGCACGTTCTTGTATCTGATCATCACACCTCATCAGACGGCAGTACTCCCATCTCACACTGAGGTCAGTGGTGAAACACCATGGACGGCTATCAGCATCTGGGTTTCGACAGTAGTTTTCCCTCAAATCCCTGCAAAAATAAGTACAATTTTCACATGGCATACCACTGAAGGTGGTCATAGGAATATCTCGTCAAAAAAAGTGGATATGTATGATGTAAAAATAAATACATTTATTTTTTCACATATTGCCAGATATCTTATTACCACCATGCAAATTTATAGCTGCGATATGAGTGGAGAGTTTGGCTCGCATGCATATCAGAGAAGTGAATGTATTTAAACCTAAAGAAACACAGTCTGACTATTGGCATAAATTCTCGCTGCAATTTATCAATGTGCTGAGTGCCTGAATAAATGATTGATATCACAGAATAGCTGGGGTTGGAAAGGACCTCTGGAGATCATCTAGTCCAACCCCCCTGCTAAAGCAGGGTCAGATAGAGCAGATAATATCACAACAAATTTATTTCTAAGCACATATGAATAAGTATACACGAGTATGTGAATGTGCAAATTACTTAGCAATAAATATACAGCAACATCCATGCTATTGGTGGGCAATTATGCCTTAAAAAAATCAATGTTTTTAAATGTGAAAGGGTTCCTTCTCATGTTCTGAAGAATGGCAAATAAAAAATGATGCATATAAACTATTTTTCTGCAAAAAACACTTCTACTTAATTCAGTGGAAGCACTCCCGTGTCTGTATTTGTTGAGGCAGTAGGAAACGGAATTCCTATCTCTAGTAATTTGCAAAGTTGCAGTGTTTCCCCATCCTGCCTCACTGCAGAGTCACAGAATGAAAAAACTGAAATGCTCTTTCCCAAATATGCCAGAACATGCTGCTTGCATTTTTTCACAACTTGCTTCCAATTTTTAAAATTATTTGTGAAAAACAACACCTTCTGTGAGTATCTTTGAGTTTGAATACATTCATATTTTTGATGCCAAAATGTGAGCGAAAATTTCCAAACAAATTTATTTAGGGTGAAGTCATAAAGAAAGGGTGAAAAATATAAAGATATCAACCTTTCTGCTCGTACTTGTAACCCACCAACGAATGATGGATTTCCCAGCAATTGCCTTCTTGTTGCTTTCCTACCCTTATTAACAACTGGTACATTAGTAACTATGACTAGCTCTGGAAGTCATCACTGGTCCAGTGTGTTAGCCCAAAGAAAAAAATAAACAAAACAAGTGAGAAAACTCAATGTATGTAATTCTGGGTGTCCAATTCAAACTGCAAAGAACATTTAGCTTGGTAATACTAATCAAGATATAACTGACTGTGCGTTTTGCAACACAAATGCTGTGTTCTCCCCAGACGAAACAAGTAAAAATGTTTTAAAAAATGTATATTTCAGCATATGCCTAGATTCTGGACACAAGTCTCCTATTGTTCGTTAGCAGCAGCTCAGGTCCTTACATGTAAAAGGACACAGTTACATTTTGCTCAGAATGTAAACAATTGGAAGACTTAATTTTTTTAATGAGACTAACAAAAAATAGTTCCACATCTTGAAAAATTGATGGTGAAAAATTCTCTTTTATAGATTCATTCTCTGTCAATATTTTAAATGATGAAAGTGTGAGGATAACGCAATGTCATTTCCAGCAATACTCATTGTCAGATAAATCAAAAAAGGTAAAATAAACATACGCGTTTGGGAATTTTTCTGGGGTTTTTTCATGTCTGTGCGGGAACATGGAGTTCCAGGCTTGGCATTTCTTTCCTGACACAGTGAAGGAAGTTTTGCCACGGTAACTCAGGCCTTTGCCTCGATAGCACTCCTCTGGGACAGGACTCTGTTCGGGCACATCAGTGACTGCAGAGAACAACAGAAACCAATGCCTCGCATCTTAATTTCATGTTCATATTCAGTAGGCACAAGAAAGCGCTAAACACACAAGAGGACAAAAAGGACTGATTCACAGCTTCCTGTAGCAGTATCTTAGCCAGCATGGAAAACAGAAGGGTATTTCCAAAGATATTTAGTTAACTTTCACAGATTATCCTTATATGTCAGAAGTTGTTCACTTGAAGGGTTATCCTTCAGTTTCACTTTGGTATATGTGAAAATGTTTGGGTTACATATCCAGAAAGTTCACATGCAAAATTCCTCCAAGATGAGAGGTGCTTGTGATTTTGCTTCTGATGTTTTGAAAATGCCCTACCTTTGGAAAAAAAAGGAATATAAAGAAATAAACCTCTTTCACTCTGTAATTTTTCTAATGTTATCTCAGCTGGTGACTTATATCCTTCACTGGCACTTCCTCACCATTAAGAGTCCAACTTTCCAGAAATAATATTTGGCAGATTTTGCAACATGCCAAATAGAACAACTGCATAACAACAGTGACAAAGTGACTGAACAAAGATTTGAAATATAAACAGTGAGAAAGAAGCCGTTTCTTGCTGCTTTAATGTCCTTGTCTCAAGTACACCCCACTACTCATACCAGTAATCTCTTGTTCTGTCCCATCACAGTGGGGAATTGCACAATATTCCCATCGAACAGCTCTGTTGATGGTATAGCACCAAGGCCTTTTCTCTCCGTCAGGGTTTCTACAGTAGTTTTCTTCTAAGCCCCTGAAACAGAAACATTAACTTAATGTTACTCATGGAAAACGAATACGGGTTGCATGCAAGATCAGCAATTACTGCATGCAGAATTCAACTCAGTGATTACATTTATTCATATTATAGATGAATTACCTTGTGCACCACTATTTTGGCACAAGTCAACAGCCTTTGTGATTACAGTCTAAATGTTGATAACTTATGAAGACCTTTCCTATGTTACTTGTCCGCTTTCTGCCCTTGTTTTGGAGGCCAAGATGGGGCCGTAAAAGCTGACTAGAAAACGCAAGCCACCGGTGTATTGGATCCTTACTGTCAGACCAAGGAGAGGCTGGATGTCACACACTGCTCCTTGGAGGTCTGCACACGCCAGCACCAGGGCACGCTGTTCTCTGCCCTCCTGTAGAGGTGTTGGACAGGATTGCACAGGCCCAGGAAAACTTACTGGATCCATTTCACAGCGCACAGGGTCCAGTTACAGCACTAAAAGCCTTGTCAGTTCCAGCTACTCATGGCCATTGATAGTGCTCCATAGCCCAAGCTCCTCTGACCTTGGAGCATCAGTAGAGCGAGTAAGAGCATGAAGAGTAATGCACTGAAAGAATGTAAAAGATATGGGGCCATTGGGGCCACGGGAATTTTTAATACAGTAGCAGTAAATACTTAAAACTGCTCAGTGGCATAAGCAGGAAT